TTAAAAAAAAAAAAAAAAAAAAAAAGCTATTCCTATGGCTGCTTGGAGGTTGGTTATACTCACAGTGACCATTAGTGTACTACCTAGTACTAACCTTGGTCTCTACTGCTGGAAAAGTATATCCTGGGAGTGTTTTGTTTTAGAAATATCATCCTTTACTTAAGCACCAGCATGGGATGGCATAAACACTGCCCTGTCTCTGTTTCCCACAACTTCCTTCTGCACAAGGGGAAACCCTGGGAATTCTGTTAAAACAGGTCTATAGCTGTTGTGTATCAGCAGAGAGTTGGCACTCAGTCCTACAGTCCTGGGTAATAGTACTGCAGGTTTCAGATGAAAGACTACAGGGCTCGTCACAAGCCTGCTTTCATAGGGTTGGAAGTCTCGTCATGCAGCATTAGGCTCCACGAGGGCTCATCTCCTCCAGAAGTGGAGGAAGAGATTGTCCTGTGCACGGTCACCCTGCTGTGCCCCCCGTCCTGCCCAGGCTGCTCTTGGGACTAGCGCAGCGTGTCTCTGCACAGTGGCACCGTATGCCCCATGTATCCCTATAGAACGGGATGACTGCAGTAATTAAGTGTGCATCTACTCTTACCTAGCACTGCTTGGATAATATCCCCAGAAAAAAAATTCTCAGCCCAAGGCCAAGAATGTGATACCTCCATCTCTCCTTGCTTCCCTCTCTTATGGACTTAATAGAAATTGCCTCCAGTCATTGTATGTATATCAGAGAAGGAAGAAACCACAATAGGGAGTGTCTTGCTCAAGGATTATGGCACTCCAGGTGTGCATGCTCACACATAGGGAGCTGAAAAGAGATGACAAGCATGACTGCAGCAAGAATGCCAGAAATTACACTACTTATGATTAGTGTGAATCCCCACTGCGAGGCAGAAGTGATGCAAAAATTAGAGTACGTCTGGTTTATGCACAAATTTTTATTTGCAATTAGTGACACTGGGAAGATGTCATGGTGAAAGTCAGTGAACTAGATAATGAAAATCCAGAGGCCAAAAAAAACCTCTTAATAATAGTTTTAATTAATAATCCATTTATTTTTCCTATGAAGTGTTTCTGTGTAACAAAATGACTATGTAATCTGTCAGACAAATAAATGATTCTGTGCTCTGCCAAGAGGAAGAGGTTTGGTACTGAATGCAAGCCAGAATCAGCTCTCAACTACACTGGTATAAATTCCAAAGTAAAGCTGGAGAGATGATCTCATGTACTTCTGATTTGTATTAATGCAAATTTGATCCCAGGCAAAATAGCAGCTTGCTTTCAGTGTTTTTTTTTTTTTTTTTTTTTTTTAAGAGCAGCTGTCCAAAAAGAGTTGTCATTGGAATTCAACAGCAATTTGATAAAATAAGATGCTATTGAGTGTCCCATTTAATGATGTAAAGTAAAATTGTGTCAGTATAGCAAGTAAGATCAGTTCTTAATGGATGTCAGGGACATCCTCTATTGTCTCGCAACAAATAGAATGATGATTTCTTTTTTAAATTGCTTCTCCTCTGATGAAGTCAATAGGTATATCCCCATATAGATACGTCTTTTGCAGGATCTTTTGAACATGTGTGTGCTGGTTACTGTTGATGACTTGGGTACAGTAGTGCCGTTTGTATTTTATGCGCTGATGCACACACATAGCATCTCAAAAGAGCAGACAGGTATTTGCACATGTGAACTAAGCAGCTTATGAGCTCAGAGACTAAATCTAGGCCCTGCTTCCTTCTTCATGTTCCCCACCTTGCTCTGCTTCAGACATGTGGGATTGTCTCACCAGGGGGCCTCTAAAATATTTATGCTGGAACATGGTTTTCAGTTTGGACCAAACTGTCCCATCATTTCTTACAGTGAGTCTCCACTTTTTATGTGTGGCCTTCTAGATTGTGTGTGCAGGTCCTGCTGTCATTATGTGCCAGTTTGAAGATATCCCATGATTTCTTGGAATTCTTTTCTCATCTTGAGTCTTTCTAGAGTTCCTTCTTGATAGATGTTTCACTCAGTACTGGAAAATGGGATTGTGCTTCAAATTTGGATCTTGTCTCCTTGTCCTGGTCAAGCAATGAAGGGAGCTTTGCACTGTGATCCGGAGTAACTGAATCAAGTCCTGTAATATCATATATATCACACTGAATGATTTATAAGTTTTTACTGACCTTGATCTATTCAACAAATTACCATCTTACATTCATGACTATCTATGAGCAAAACTGCCTTTTAACTATTTTTCTATTTTTTTTTTCTTTCCACTTTAAAGCCTCACCTGATCCAGTAGACCACTCAGCTAAAAAGCCTTCATCCTAGTAGCTGGTTTTCATTTTCCCTCTTATCTTTGGAAGCATAGTCTCCATCCTGCAAAGCCAGGAGAGAGACAGTGTTCTTTTGAGATGTATCGAATGTTGCAAAGGGCAGTTAAGAATCTGAGCCACAAACACCCTGGCAAGGAAAGAGGAGAGTGAATGACCTTGACTGGACTCTGCTCCAACCTGGGAGGGCTTCTAGACCCATAGGGTGGCAAGATTCCCTCTCTGCAGCAAGTTTATGCACAGTTTTAAACTCCTTTGTAAAGTGAATTTACAGTAGCTTGAAGGGTATCTCTCTCTGATTTATCAGAGGTTGCTGATAGGGGCTGCACTGTGACACGTATGACAAGTGTTATCTCTGCAGAGGTTTAGATGAGTCCTAGAACTAAACCTGTGTGAAATCATCCCTCGGTGTCAATCCTTCAGTCAACCCCTATCACAGGTAATGTTTGCCTGTAGCCATCCACAGAAAATCTAGTGATGCTTGGACTGTTTTGAACTTGCTCTAGCAAAAGCACTGAAATGGAAGGAGATAGGAGTTTTTTATGATGATTTTCAGAACATGGAATAGATGAAGGACCGTCTGCTTAGAGGTTGTGGTGCTGTCAGCATTCATTTTCTCCTTACAGACTGTAATGAAGTAGCCCCGGGGAAGCTTTTTAGCTCTGCAATACCATAGCTATTCCAGGTTATTTGGTTACTGTTGTATAAAAAGAGCCCCCAAATTCAGAGATTTTTTTCTCTCCCTGCTACTGAATTCCCAGAAAAATAAATTTGAATGGATTTTGTATTTCCTTTAGTCATTTGTGGAGAGATTAAAATTAATATTGAATTCCTCAATTTCTTGTGGATCGTTACAGTACTTTTATTTATCAGAAGCACTGTGCTTTTTTTCTGCAGAGACTGAAAGAGATGTTTGGTATTCATTCTTATATGAATTTTTGCAAATAGGTTAAAAAAACAAGGTTGAAATATTTTTTTCTGATATCATTTAAAGTGTATCTTTTTTGTGTTTCGTGTAAATCATAATGAATCTGGACATTTCAATGTTTTAAATGAAAATATATAACCTGTATAGTTTCCCCTGTTGTCTGCATTGCCTGTTGTGTCTTGATGAAAACAAACGGTAAAATCCACTAATTATTTTAATAGAGCAGAGCAAGACCTGCATGCCCTCTGGTGGAGTGATCCTTCACAGGCTAATATAGATCAGAGCTTGTGGACAGACAGACTCTCCTTTGATATACTTAATTACTCAATTACATTATAGTTCTCCACTGTAGAGTTTGTTAGCTAGTAGGAAGGGAAACTCTTCCACTGTATCTGTCTATTTTGTTTCATACTACAAAGCTTGAGCTCTTCCCCTTCAGCCTTTATTTCTTGCCTTTTAAAACCGTTGTTGCGCCTTTGTGATAGAAATGAGTTATATATGTTATATATGCGTGTGGAACATATGTATATGTTGCTTAAATATTCTGAGCTGTAGCACATTACAGACACAGGTTTTATAGGTAAACTGTGCTCTGCTTTTAAGGAAGTTTACAGGTCCGATACAAGCTGAGTAAGGATGGGCTCCTCATTTTCACCATTGACTCTGGAAACTTTGCCAACCGTGAGCTGCACCACGTGAAGATTAACAGGGAAGGCAGAGAGCTCATCGTTCAGGTATCACATCTGCCTGCTGTGTCTTATTTTCACGGCTAGACTTCCTTGTGTGTGTTCAGTGTTAAATAATAATTCATGCCGTAAACAGACCCACTGGTTTAAATGCTTGCTCAGCAATAGGAAACAGGTTGCACCTTGATCTGATGAAACTAAAGCTGGTTGAGCTGCAGAGCAACATCAGAGTGCCTGGCAGATGGGTTTCCTATAGAGTGACCTTTATTTTTTCTGTGACAATCTGTGAGTTAGGTAGTATTATCTCACTTGAGATGTATGCCCCAAGGAAGGATGTGACCCACACGTTACATCTCCACAGCGGAGGAAAGACTGAAGGGATGTGGTGTGTGGCTGTCCTGGGCATGACCATTTACCATGTCATGTCCCTTTGAGGCAAATCTGGTCTTCAGTGCTCTGAACCAGCTGTGACAGTGTTTCAGTAGGAGACGAGAAGCCCTACTCTGCTCTATTTCCTTGCATTGCCTTTTATTTCCAAGGCAGTGAGAAAATACCGTGTTGCTGCTGCTTTCCTTCCCAGGCTAATTTCAATGGTTCAAATTATAAAACAAATTTGCTAGATCTGGATGGCAGTCATTAAGAGAGAAGAGAGGCAGCTTCTCAAGAGAAGTCATATGTGAATGAAGGAATAGAAAGAAAAGGAAACGTAAAGCTAACCATGGTTTTTCCTTCCTCTGCTACTTCCATTTCTGGGTGGTAAAATGATCCACAGTTAACATAGTGACTACTACATAGGCCTGATTATCTAGGAAGGAGGCTTATGCTAAGAGTCAGGGTTTACCTCAAGTACCAGTCTGCTATTGTCACACTGCGCTGTGGTTTTCTTCTATGCAGAACTAATTCTCCACAGTACGTTTCTAGAGAGGCCTCCTTTGATTGTATTCTGTAGTGAATAAGATGTGGATTTTGTGAATCAGGGGGATTTCAGTGTCAAACATTTTAAGCTTTTCTGCAGGGGAAGTTTCTTAAAAGCCCATTATATGACTATTCTGGTGCACCTTTCAGCTTCTTAGGCAAAAATCAAAGCACACTCACTTTGCTATCTTTAGAACCTGAATCACGCTTGGAGGCAGGAATAACTTGTTTGCGGCTGAGAGCATTCCCACAGTTTTGCAGGATAGAGAAAGCTTTGGGGTGTCTACACGCTCTTATAATGAACTAATTTTATTGACCTCTTCCAGGTTGATCAAGTTCTGAAACTCAAGCACAACTTTTCTGAGATTGATTTTAAGGCCATCAAATCACTCACCTTGGGCAAGGTCACAGGTATGTTCTACTAAAAATATTCCTGATTCATCAGTTATTACAGTGCTGCAGTTACCTGTGTTGTGTGCTGGTATTGAGTGAAATTGGGTGGCTTTTTTTGGGCTGGTTTTAGCTGTGAGGATTGGCCTGAGCATTCCAATACTGTGATTTATATCACAGTATATTCCAATACTGTGATTTATATCACAGTATGCGTCAGCATAAAAAAAATGGCAACTTTACTTGTTTGCACTGATAACAATATTAACTTCTCCCACTACTCACTCTACTAAGGTGACTCACACTCCCTATGTGGCTGCACCAGGTGGTATCTTACCCCTAATGACATCATTTTGGTGACAATAATTTGCTGTGATCCTCTGGCTGGTCAGCTCTTTTTCCTAATGACGAGGAGAAGGATTCTGAGCCTTCTTCCTCTCTACCCATTTTTGTCTGTCCTTTTCCATTTGAATTCTGCAAGGAATATTTTTGTTACGTACTGTACAGAGGCCACTATGCTGCCTGCTGTGTCCATGGATCTTCTTCATCTTGGCCCTTTCATGCTGCACAGCCACTACAAGGCCCGTAGAACTTTGCCAGAATTCAAGAAGTTGAACACTGCTATTTTGTTGTCAAGCGTGTCATATTGCTTTATGTAAGTTTTTTCATTCATTCCCAGTAAGATTCTAATTACTTCCTTGGTTATGGGCATTTTAGTCCTTTAGAATTGGACATCCGTATCAAATCTCTTTCTGTTTCATTATTGAAATTTATATGCTTTACAAATAGTGGCCCAAAGCTGTGGAATTGGTAGCTAGACAGAAATAATAGACATCCACTAGTGACCGCTTGTAAGTTATAATTTTATGTAATGACATCAGTGCATTATGCATCATATTTTGCTAAGCAGATTAAGGACAGGAACTGAGTTTTCCCCATAATTATAGCCAGAGTTCAGAATGCAGCAGTTTTCTAAACCTTTGAGGACAGGTTTGGAGGAGACATGACACTTTTCAGACCCGGTCACAGTTAAGTTAATATCTCATTTTGCTAATGGTCACTTGTAGTTCTGAAGGCCTGGAAGAGCATTGCTCATCATGATCTCCACCTTGAGTTCAGCTATGGTTCTTAAATCAATAAACGAGAGCTTTTCTGAAAAACAAGATGGAACATAGCGCAATGATTTCAAGCCAGCAAGTTGGTGTAGTGCAACTCGGAGAGAGGCTAGATTTATTCACAAAAATAGAATTAGTTTTGCAAGCAAAAGAATTTGACAAAGCCATAAAGTCCAGATTCATCTCCAAAAGTATGATATTCAGTACCACTGAACATCACAGACATCTTTTGACATCATTCAATGGACACATCCTTCTTCTGTTTCCTCTTCCTTACCCCAAGATTTCATGAGTGTTTTTATTAGTAAGAATAATAAAGATGGGAAAAGTTATTAATTACAGCTCTGTTTAATGATGGCTCAACAGGTGAATGCTGGTAACATAAGCCAATATCCTTCAATTTCTTCTTTGTCATTGTTTTTTGACCTCTTCCCCTCAGTAAAAGGTTAGACTTCCAGAGGAATGGGATGCTTGCAAATAGATCTAGACTTTTTAGAGCATTTGGTTTGGATACGAGTGGAGTTTAGGTACCTGAAGGCATTCATTAAGAACACAAGAGTCTCATACTAGAATAGAACTATATAGAAAATTGTACATGTCCTTCATATCTGTGCTGCCCTCTTCTGAAGATCTGTCCTTCCTCCTCATTCCCTGTCACAGCACTGTTCATTTCTTGCTCCAACAGTCTGATCCTGGCTGCTTAACCAGCTATATCTCCTTGTCTTTTCTCACTCCTGTTCATTTCCCACTAGCTGAAAAATCTCTGAGAGAACTTCCAGCAGGAGATCATAAAAGATTAAAACCTCTTCGTTGTCAGATTTTCTTATGATAACCATGTTAGCACAGCTGTAGCTCTTGAAAAGTGAAGTTTTATGCAATGACCGATTTTTAAATTACCATGTGGTTTCTTTCCATTACCCTTTCTTTAGTGAAAAGCTGCTTACACGCTTACTTTTTCTGTTTCTGAAATCTGCTATATTTTCCAATGGTTTCACTATACCTAGCTTTGAATTCCTGGAAAAAGCCCTCTTTTTAAACCAGAGGGGACTCACCTGGAATTCAAAACTCTGCCACAGCCTACTTGAATGACCTTGGGCAAACCATTTATGTGCAAATGTTAAGGTAAGTGGGCATTTTATTCCCAATGAAACCAATCTGAGCTTTAGTATCTCTCTGTTCTCTATCAGTAAAGCATGGATAATAGAACATCCCTGCATCAGAGGGGTGCTAGGAAGAGAAAAGCATTAAAGCCTCTGAGCAGTTCAGATCCCTTGGTAATGGGGCCATATAACTGCCTTTGAAAGATCGATCTAAATATAAGTGTGTCTTTGAAGACAAGGGAATAGAAAGAAGCAGCATTCAAGTAGCCCATAGACCTGTATTGAATTTGTCCTTACAGTGTTCCATAGTTATAGAGAAATACTGTTTTCTTGCCCTTTTTATTTCACCCCTACAACACCTACACCAAGGCACAAGAAGACCTGTCCAAAGCTCATCAGTATTAATGGGAATCTTTCCGTGGACTTTGGTGGACTTTTGAATTCAGGTTTCGAGTGGGTCGTACAGTTTATGGGAAGGCCTTAGTGAAATCTCAAGCACAGTCCCAATTCACTTGTTTTAAGCATTTTCTTGCAAAGATGATACTGCTGTGCTTCACCATGCAGTCTCTATTGACAGTCTAACCTAATGCTGAAGTCGATTCCACTTTGAGCAAGAGAATGCAGTACATGACTTCTGGAGGTGTCTTTCAACTTAAATTATTCTGTAATTTTCTGAATTCAGATACAGATTTAGTCAAGGTACATTTACATATGTTTAGGTTTTGTCTAGAAGATGCTCTTTTCTCAACAGAAAATTTCATTTGTTTGACTTGATTTTGACTAATGATTTGCAAGTGTTTGAATAATAGTTCTACCTCATAAAGTGTGTAGTGTTGAAAGGAAGAAGGAAAGAATGAACAAAAAGATCTGAAAGAAGCTCTAGTTCAGTGCTGGAGTTCTTTATTTCCAGTCTAATATGGTTGCAAGGCTAGGCTAAATATCTTGTTTATAAAAGGACCATACCAGGAAAAAGATATGTTATAGATATGAAATTATCTTTCTAGTAATCCAGTAAAGCATTTGGGAAAATGGAAATAGTTACTCAGGATAGAAGAGGAGAAAAGTTTGGAACCGAGATGGCAGCAGTTAAAAATACAAACTGAGAAACAACTGGCAATCGGGCACTTCAGGCAGTCTTGAGTTGTCTTGAAAAGGAGATAAAATTCATTACACTTTTGTCCCAGCAAAATAATTATAATGACATGTTTGAATTGCTGTTTGCCTGAATATCATATTTTCTAAATAAGTGTCCATGGTCTTCTGCTTGTCTCCAGAAGTTACATCTCTAGTTTGAATTCCTACTACTTGAATTGATTTAAGGAAAGCATTTGGTGGGGGGGGGGGCATTGTTTGTTTTTCGGGTTTTTTCCTCTTTTCTCCATTTTCTTGAATATTTTCTTTTTACTATAGGTAGCATTTTCAGTCCATTTACAGGATTACACAGGGCTGGCTGTGATGTGACAGATTAGGATTCAGATATCAAGGTTTCTGACACCTACTGTATTTCTCATTGCCAACCTAGAGCAGTGCTTTATTCTCAATGACAAACAATCTTGAAGAGAACATACATAAAGCATGTATGAAATTACCCCAGCCGAGTGTAATGGGACAAAAAATTTCAAATATTTCACAGGGCACAAAACGCTTCATTGCTGTGAAGCAAAACTTGGAGTGGTCTACTCATTCCCGTGATACCAAGGAAAATTTGAGAGAAAAGGGCCTGAATTTTGCTCTTTCTATCCCTTGAAGTTTCAAAAATCTCAGAGATGCACTGAATGCTTGGACCTTTATCTCCAGCTGAAGTTCATCTTTTCCTCTAGAAAAGGCCAGACTGTGAAGGAAAGGCTGGTGGCACCCAACATATTTAATTAGGAAAAAATCTTTGTAATTTTCAGCCTGACACCTTCATGACAGGTTCATACCAGGAACCGAGACTGTCCTAAAGTGGCTTTTTTGTAGGTGGAATCTAATCCAAGTTATGCTTTCTGCCCTTTATGAATTGATGATTAATATCCGTAAGGCTCATTGAGGCTGTCCAAGGGCAGAGCAGTATATTTTTGCAGGTAACTACAGAGTACCTGCTAATGAACTGTATATATATATATTTTATTGAGACAGATGCAATGTGGAGACTACAAGATTATCTTTTACTTTTAGATCACTGAATCAAATCTAGTGACAATGACCAAGCAGTAATCTCACCAATGCTGTTCATCACCTTGGCAAAATGAGGTGACACATGTAGTTTAACTTGCACAAAAATCATATTTCTATTAGGCTTTAAAAGAGGCCAGTTGGTTCTTCAGCACGCAGAATGAATTATCTTTTCCACCTCTATCCACTTTAGCTTGAGTAATTAGAGCACAGACATTAAAAAACTAATGGTATGTCTGCTCTCACTGAAGTTAATAGGAAAATTCCCATACAGAAATGATGGGCCTCCTTGGATGTTAGTAAACATACTTGTAAACTGGCAGCCATGGTTTAAACTTCTTACTGGCATGAAATTAATTTTTAGAAAGAATAAAAAACATTAGATAAAGGTCATGATCCCATTTTCTGTAATGTTATATTCGGAAAGAAGGCCTTTTGAGTTACTTTCCCTGCACACACATAATATTTTGATTTCTCTTTGATTCCATTTCTCTCTCATATTTATATTGTCCTTTATTGTGTTTTAATTTGCTTATACATTGCTGAGCAGCTTAATGCTCTGACCTGGAGAAATTCAGCAGAATTCCATTTATGATGAAAATTATTCCTCTTTATTGAGCTATTAACATTTTAAATTGTTTTACAAGTTTAAAATTTTATTCCAAGTGTGTTGTAAATGGCAACAGTGGACAAAGAATCAGCCATAGAGCAGAATGTCTGTTCTGGAGAGCAGGCATGAATCAACTGATAAGTGATTTTGGTCTGATCAGAAAGGTTTCAGAAATATAACCATTAGACCTAATTCTCATTTTCAAGGAAAGTCACTGCCAATACATGAAAACCAGATAACAGGAGAGCAAGATGTGGCATTGCAGACAGCTTTCAGAGGGTAGATGGAGGGTTCAGCCGGAAGACAGACCAACTTATGTACAAATCAGCCAAAGAGTCATTTCCTAAAAATGTGGGTAAAATGAAGTTGTGGGGAATGAGCAGTTGCTCAAAAGCTGAAAAAGACTGTCTTCTCACCATGCCGTGCAGAAATCACCCAAAGTGACTCAGTCTCCAGGTCTGAGCATAGAAGGGCAATACTAACATGTCAGAATATCAGACCAAACAGTCAGCAGCAATTGAGTCTAATTTTCCAAGGCGGTGAAGTGCATGAAAAAATTCACAGAGTTGCAAGGTCAGAGGAAGGCCATTCTGACATCTTATATGACTTTGGTACAACACACGCCTCGGAACTTCACTGAATTATTACTCTAACTGAGCACAATGTCACATAATGAAAAGACATTTTGTCATGATTTAAAGACTTCAAGTGGCAGTGGTCTACAACCTTTAATAAGCCTTTCACATAGGTAGTCATGCCATAACCACAGATTTACATTATCTGCTTAAGAATTCAGAGGGCAGCACAATTAGTTCTCACCCAAGTTGCACAGGACTGTCCTTCAGTTCAGTGAGAGCTCCACTTTGGAAGTTGTAAGACATGCACCCAAAGACATATAGCAAAGGAAACTATGGCTGTGACCACAGAAATTTTACCATCAGACTTTCAACTTGTTCTCCACTTGTTTGATTTCTTTTTTTTTTTTCTTTTTTTTTTCAAATTTCAAAGCCTTTCAGCAGTGAATCTTCTGATTCTTATTTGTACAAAGCTTACTTTGACAGAAGACTACTGAAATTGGTCCTTAATTTGACTTAAAAAAATAACCTTCAAAAGTATTGTATTTTAGACTTTACAAGCTGCTGTACCATGAAAAGCAAATTCATTATTTTTTAGGGTTTACCTTTTGCACAGTGGGGCAGAACAGAGCAATTTAGATTGCCTGATGCTTAAAGGATACAACAAGTTCACCTTTTGTGCCAGAGCTAAGAAAACAGGAAAGGCTGAGAGGTGGGAATATTTACAAAGGGTTTTGTAAATTCAACAAAGATGGCAAATACTATAAATCGTTCTCTCTAGTTTTCCTGTAGAAAGCTGGAGATTATTCCTTGACTGCTTGTAACAGCCCCAGCCCAAAATCTCATAACAAGCTTGAATACAGTGCCAGCTACACTCTTTTGCATAAAAGAGGCATGTATAGTTATGTAGGAAAATCAAGCATTAGTTTTTTCCTAAACTGTTTTGACTGAGGGCTTGTAAATCGTCATATTTGACGGTGATGAAAAAAAAAAAATCAGTCTTTCTTCTTTCAGTCATTCGAAACTCTGTAAGTAAGCTTCGAAAAGCTGGAAATCTTTTTCCAATGGAAATATTTACAATATTTTCAATTCTAAATATATATATGTATATTTTGGCAGATGATTTTGGATTTTTTTTTTTTTTTGGATGTACTACTTTGGGTTTTGTCGTGGTTTGTTTGGCTGACCTTGATATAAGGCTTATCATATTGCAGACCTCTGAGCAGTGTGAATTTCAATTTCTGGAAAGTAAATAAAATAAGAGCTTCGAGTAAAGAGAAGATGGCTTTGCTGTCCTTCACTGACTTTCTCAAGCAACCTTTGATCTTAAAAAATTCAGAGCCAAATAAAAAAAAAATGCGTGCCTTGGAATTGGCTTTCTCTTTCTGAATTCAAATGAATACAGGCAGACACAAACTAATTGCACTATGTCATCTGCAGCTGGGTGAAAAGCAAGGAGATACTCCATTTGGTTTTGATTTAGATAAAATAAGCGTCAGTTTTGCATTTTATTTTATTAGCTGAACAAGTCTAGCTCAATGAGAGCCCGGCTCATAATTAGAAGAAATGTTGCTAAGAGATTCAACAAAATTAAATAACATCTAATGATGCTATATTTATTGTCAAGGCAGTAGAGAAAATGGGACGTAAGCTCAGTGCAGGCTTTTGTATATCTAAGCCAACTTGATTCAACACAAATAGTATTGTAGGAGAAGGAATAGGGGATAGCCTTGCAAGCCAGGCTGCAGAGAACTCATAGGACTGAGGAAGAACTCCCACAGTTTGGATGAAGACAAGTAAATGAGCAGACAAGGCAAAAAGGGGATTAATTATTTTATGTGCCTTCCTAAAACAGGCAGTTCTGAGAGTGTTTCCTGTTGTGCTGCAGATAGTTTGTCACTGGACCCCGAAGTCTCCAAGGCAAATGCCTATGGCTTCACCGGCTGCCTGTCTTCTGTTCAGTACAACCACATTGCTCCGCTCAAGGCTGCCCTACGTCATCCCAGCGTTGCTCCTGTGACCGTCAGAGGCTCCTTGACTGAGTCAAACTGTGCATCCTTAATGGAAACTGACGTGAACACCGTAACCACAATATATTCCTCATCAGGTATGTTATGCCAAGAAGGGAATGAGGAATTTAAAATAACATGGCAAATAGGTTTCCTTGCCTTTTTACTGTGGCAAAATTGTGGTGATGTAGACATAGATATGGATAGTTACCTTTTCTCTCAGTGTTTAGAGGGTTAAGAATGGGCATTCCGACTAGCCGAGAGCCCTTTAAAAAAGCATTGTACTAAAGCAAGTATAAGACCAAGTTTCTGGATTGCCAAAACAGTGTGGTGGTTATAGTAAAGAAGTCCCAAAGCTCCTCAAAGCTTCTCCAAAGCTGTAGTAGAAACTAAAGAAACTACCCATGATCCATCCACTCTAGATAGCTTCAGTGCTGTTGCTTGAAGAAAAATGTGTTACCATGATTTCTTATCCTGTGGTGATCAGCAAAAGAAATCATATGACAGGAAGCTGAATCTTCCCTGTCCCTTGCCGAAAGGAACAAGAACCTCTTGTATAAAGCCCTGGGCATACGTGCATCACTTCCCCCAAATACTTGTAGTTTGTTCTCTCTAGCTAGAGGGAAGGAGAATTGCTTGAGCTGTGCTACTAAGATGATCCCAACAGTTTGCTTGTCTCTTGCAATCCTGAAACTGCCTTCTGGGAATCTTAAGTGTTTTGCGTCTGTGTATTTGTATGCAGAGAAGGAAACTCAGAGCAGCTGGGAGTGTTGTCACCAGATATGGGCACAATCAACATGCTGCTTTACTCACGAGTGGATGTGGCAGGATTCTTAATAACAAGAAAGGGGTACACACTATAAATTATTTTTTTGGCTCTTGAGTTATGAAGCCACTTTTTCTTCTTTGATAACTAACAAAGGTCTGTGTTGTGTCTTAATATGATTCCTTTGACATTTGTACTGGCATCAAATCCCAATTTCCTGCAGCTTCTGCCTATGATATTTAACAGAAAACAAATTATGCTATTAGCATTCTGCATAGGGAAAAAGGCTGCTGATTGCTCTGTGGGCTAGGGCTGCTGCAGGCTTCTCCCCACCCACCACCCACTTCTCCCCACCCTGGGTTGTCTGACTTATCTGCTCCAAGGGACTAAAGAAATGTGACTTGTAAATAGCAAATGGATGATAACACTGCAAACGTGAACTCCTCACCTCTTGATCTGTCACGTTGATGATCTAATTTTTCTAAAGGATTTAGAAAGAAGTAAAACCTGAGCCTTGCGTCTATAGGATTCTGTGATACAGTGTAGAATATATAAGCTTTAAATACCTAAGTCCAAAGCTGCCAATCAATTGCATTCAAGCGTCAAGGTTAAGCACTGTCACATCAGACGCGTGCTATTATTATTATAAAAGCTCCGCCCTGTCTTTGTGTCTCTGTGCTTTAAGATATAATTTCTTCTCAATATGATAAATTAACTTACATTACGTCTCAACTATTCACACTGGATTTGATTTAAGCTTGAATAAGATCTTTAGAACAAGTTAGTTCTGAAGACTTTATGTACTAAGAATACTGGGTGGTAGATTCTTGTAAAAAAATCCAATTTATATCAAATTATACTTTGTAGAGATGTACTTGAGAATTGCATTTATGTATGTGAAGGACACATTTTAAGAAATAAAAATAAGACAGTTAAAGATTAACTTTCAAATTTACTGCTCACATTTCAATTCATCAGTTCCCAGTTTCTCATTATTGAATGTCTCAGAAGAAAAAGAGAACTTCAAAGTTGTCTGTACATGTCTATGTCAATTTTCTAATGTACAGATACAACAAAAAAGCCCTTGAGGAAATCTCACTTCAAATGTGTGGAAAAAAAAGCTTTCTGTGTTTATAACTTCAAAACAATTGAAGCCTTTTCCTTCAGACAGAAATATTTGCTGTCTTCAAGAAACTTTCCCAGCAAACTGATATTGAATAAAATCCATTCACTCACAGCTCAGTTATCCATACACACTTTCTGATTAGGAAATACAAAATGAAAGGTGTCTTACTGTGATTTGGTATTTCAGAAAGATCTGTAAATCGCTTTCTTCCTTGTATGAGACAAACTTGCAGAGGTTTGGCACATTGACTGCATAAAGATTTTTGATTTTTACGATACTGTTTTTAGCATATTAAAACTTTGAAAATGCCACAGCAGATTCGGATGTGTGAATGGTGGAATTTTAAGAACGAAATCTTGAGATATCTGTTTTGACCTGTCAGATCTATGAACCCTAGTTCTTTATTATAGATGGTTTTTGATTATTGATGCTTCTATCCTTAAAACTAGCAGTAAAGTTTCATCTTTTAAAATGTGAAAGGTTCTTGAGACGGAATCCTTCTGCATTTTGTCATTGGTAATAGTGGAGTGGATATTCTCTAGATAGAGAGAATTTAGGAAAAGTGCTCCCATTAGGAATCTAAACAACTCAGACACTCTCATCCTTACATATAAAATCTCACATAACTATCAAAGTTTTATTTGCTTGAATTAAAACTGTCCTTGGGAACTAAGTATCAAAATGTGGCTGAATGAGCTACTAAAGAAAGGATGTTCAACTGCATTAAACCTTGAAATATTTTGCATCTCTCAGTCTTTCCACCTGCATTTGGGAAAATCAGTTTGGCCAAGCAATATACTATGTAGCTGAAGCAGTCATCGCTAAATACAACTACATCTGGTATAGGATATAGGGTAGTCTGGAGACTCATAAAGGGAAGAAAAATAGGAATCTCGTCAAAAGGAGGGTGAGATGAAGGAAAAAAATATACTATGAAGGTAGAGAAGAGCCTTATTTAACTAGCAGTAGAAACCATGAAAAAAACATTCTGAAAAATACTGGACCAATGAAGACACACTGCTATAAATCCAATGATTTCATCCAGGGCTTGACCGCTCAGATTTGGATCTCAGTTTGAAACTCTCAGCATCTATACTGGACCTCACAGTGTTTTGGCAGTATTCATTTATAAAAAGGGGAGAAGCGTTCTGCAACTTTGAGTAGCTTTTAAAATAGGAATTAATTTCTGAGCCCTCTCCATTTTGAACCCAATTTGACCACTGTGGTTCTGCAATAGAAACAAACGTATCTCTTCTAAGCAGCAGTCCCAAGCAGATACTGCATCTTTTTATTGGATTGACATGGATCTACAAATGTAGGTCATGTCTGTGGCTGTCTGGCCTTTCTGTACTTTTGTTTCTTTCTGATATTGTTTCTTAGGTATCAAAAAAATGCTGGGACTGAGAAAAGCTCTTTAATAGGCTATATGGTGCAAATATCTCTTTATGAGTCTTCTACAGATATATTGAGAAGACTTACAGACACTTACAGATGTTAGTGTGTGCTTTTCTATTTCCTTTTAAATGTATCCTTAACAGATTTTGCTCCTGAAGATGTGGGAGACGAAACTAAAAACACGCTTTCTTTTTCAGAGGTCTTTCTGCTCCATTTCTCCAAATTACATCTTTTGAAAACAGATTAGAATTCATAAGAGTAAGACAACACTTCTGCCTAAGCCACAATATGGTTGATCCAATAAAATAAGTCTTGTTTTGTTTAACTAACTGCAGATCCTTTTGGGAAGACAGATGAAAGGGAGCCTCTCACCAACGCAGTCAGAAGTGATTCAGCTGTGATTGGAGGTAACTGCTTTTAACACTTACAATTGAAACATAATTCTATCAATGCAGTCATGTGGAGTACCTTATATGTGGGCTCTATTAATTTATTTATTTTTTTTTTTTAGTTATCTAATGGCAGTATGGTATTTACTGTATACGTATAAAGCTACCTGAATAGGCACCTGCTAAGCCAATACCAACAGCACATGGTGCAGGGTACTGTCCAAAAAAAAGGCATTATGCATATTAAAGAACCTAAAAGTGTTCTAAAAATACAAAATAAAGTCTGAGACCCAGCTAACTTACATTTCTTTTGCGTACTACTCTGGCGAGAGCATCAGTGTAGTAGTATTCCTACTTTCTCTGTTTCTTGAGCTTTATACTTAGAAGTTGGTTCAGTGGAATTCTTTAGTCACATGGAAGCACTTACACACTAGAGAAAGTTGTCCTTAAAGCTTCACATGTGAGTTTCATTTCTCTTTTAACAACCTAGAAGACAATTTATCTCTGTTTATTTTAAAGAATGCCCTGTAGGAAACTGCTTTTGATAATATCTGGAAGCTATAAACCAAAGTGTACAAAGCTCATTCCAGGTTTCCAGAGATAACAAGAAAGAAAATGCAAGAGCAGGAAGTTGTGTGAGCATAGAGATGTAGTTTCTAAAAACTAATCACACTGACCCAACCTTACTTCCAGTGTCAAATTCCAGAAGGCAGAATTTGACTCGAATTTAGAAGGTCAAGTACATCAATGTTCTGCTTTGTCTCACCTAAGGTTCCAAAATAGAAATAGACACTATCAGGGAGAGTATGATGGAGGCAAATAACTATGTACAGACTAAGATGAATTGATTTATTACTAAGTGTTGTCCACTGCTAATTTATTTCTGATGCCTTCTCTTTCCTTTTTTTGCTCTCTTCTTCAGGTGTAATAGCAGTTGTGATATTTATCATCTTTTGCATCATTGCCATCATGAGCAGATTCCTCTATCAGCACAAACAGACACATCGAAGTAGCCAGGCAAAGGAGAAGGAATACCCAGAAAACCTCGAGAGCTCCTTTAAAGCTGACATTGACTTGCAGAACACAGTGAGCGAATGCAAACGGGAATATTTCATTTGATGGACAATACAATATCTTCTTATTCTTTTTCCCCTACCATTCCTTTCTTCCTTCTTTTCCTTCCTTTTATTCCCCTTCCTTTATTTTTTTTTCTTAAAACCATTTATTTTTTGCTAAATTCTTTTTCGTTTGGAGAAAGACTGCCCTGCACAGGAAACACCAACAACAGTCACAGTGCCTCATTCTCTTCACAAAAACCTGTTACAGTTTACTTCTGCAGCGCAAGAGACCCGTTATCCTACCCTACACAAAATAAGATCCATATACACATCTGATTTCTTTTGTAAGTTCCTGGATGTTTCAAGTCTCTCTTTTTTTTTTTTCCCCTCCTCCTTTGGAGCATTTAATTAATCACTTTTACATTAGAGCTGGACTGTGTAAAATAGAGTAGCTGAATACATAGCTCTATAGATGCTGGGACAGGTTAGAGGGAAAGAATGAGACCAGAACACCTGGCTTATTTTACAAACTCATTTACACCAATCATAAGGAAACAGCCAAATGCTGGTGAATGAATGAATTGATGCAAGTTCATTGACTTCAATGGTGTTGCATTATTTTTTACCATTTGAGAAGCTGGTATGAGGTAAGGGAACATAAATGAGTCATTCTCATTAAGATCCCTCTCCCTCCTGTCCTTTTACTGTAACTTTTAGGCTTACCAATATTTTTCCAACAGGATACGTATCAACAACAAAATGTCATTCCCGTGCACCTCTCTCACCTCCATCTCATAAGGCTGGCTAAGTAGACCCAACATACTCTAGCGTAACTCAAGCTGAAGCATGGAAAATAGTAGCTTGAATCTCCAAAGGTTTTAGGAAGTTGCTAGGACTTAGGTGCTTTATATTTGTCTGAAATGTTAGAAATACAGCATATACCCATTCATCTCTGAGGATTATCATTCACTGAGGTTAAACACTCTTGCCATTGTGACAACAAAAAAAACATATATCAAGAAAGAGTAAAACATTTTCAACTTAATCACCCCTTCTGTTAGTTCTCATAAAAAAGGAAAGAAAAAAAAACACCTGCTCAAAAACCTGCATAAAATTGGAGTGGGATTTCCAGTTGGCAGAAACTGGAATATCGAAAACTGAATGCAGAGAGGTCTAGCATGGCATCTAAAAAGGTTGAAATTTAATCAACCAAGAACATTAAAGAAACTTATTTTAAAAAACGTAAAAGCACACACACACACACTCCATTCTTAATTAAGCTCTCCCATTTCTCCAAAGTCCTCTTTCCTGTTTGAGAACCAATACTAAAGACCTGAGTCCTGACTATTTTACTTGTGCTGCATGATTGCAGAGTGTTTGAAATCTTCCTTTTGTTACAATTTTATGATAAGAAGTTGGTAAGACGTTAGGTTTATCACACCTTACCTGTGTTTGGGCGATATACTCCCTTCACAGGCAGCTAGAGTACTTCGAATTTGCAATCATGCAGGTGTCTTTCTGGTGTTGAATAATATAGCCCAACATATAAGAAAACAAAATATTTTCCTTTTGTTTGCAGTACTCTTTGGATGAATATTAATGCAAAAGAATTTATTGTACAGCTGAACCTATTCATTTTTTTTTGCTACCTATACCATACTCCAGTCGTCTGCTTTCTCCGCATGCTGATCCTTTTCATTTAGATTAAAATCAAAGAATCACAATATGAGCTAATAATCAACAGTCAGCTATAGGTATGCAGCAGGTGTTGGTTTTCCACGACATGCATTAATCGCGAAGGTCTGTAGTTGGCTATTTTTTGATGGATAGACAAGGAAAAATGAACAAATTACATTTAGGAAATGGTGATTCTTTAACTTCTGTTGGCAGACAGATGAGAGAAATAGAGTCTGGGAAAGTGTGTAAAGCAATCTGGGAATTATCTCACTTAATCTGAGAAGGAATGTACACTTGTAAGGCCAGCCCGATAGCCATCAGCCTAACAAAGACATAGCCCTTCTGCCATGTTCCCTCTCTTTGCATGATATATGATTAATTGAGTGTTTCTGCATGGTGAGATGTGTAGCGATGGGCTCATTAGCTGCATTCCTTTTACGGTGCTTTGTCTTTTGCAGTGAGATCCTGGCACAGGAATTCTCTCCCTCCTTCCTTTTCCCAGATAATGATGCCTTGTTTTGCATGGTGTGGACAGGAGGAATAAGTAAACCCGTGGGCTCCTTCCTGTGCCCGTGTTTGAGTCATTTTATTCAATATAGCCTCCATGTGAGGCAGCCTTGAAGTCTGACTGTACCGAATTGCCTGATGAAAAATGGAATAGGAAGGAGGTGAAAACCCGCACTTTATGCAGCTCTGTTTTTCTTCCCCTGATATTGTTGTGTATTATTTTCTGGCCAAACCATTGGATACAGATCATCCTCCTACTTTGCTACATATGAGTTTCTCAGAATAAAGTCCTATGAAGTACAAATATAAATCCTAAAGCAGCTCTAGTGATGGAGTTTCTGGAAAAGGAAGATGGAGCAATGAAGCAATGTGCAGTGTGCAAGATGCTGGGCTTTCTGTGGGAGAATCAGGTTGTTATTACTGGATGTAGATATCAGAGCATTGCTGTAGACATTGCAGATACATCTTTGTCGAAATCTGATGTTGAGACATGGTTGAACTCATTCATGTTGAGATGATGATGTTTCCCAGAAAACTACCTTTTGATCTTCAATCTGATCTAGACTGTTCAATGGACCTAGAACTAATGTGTTGAAAAGTTTTAGAGTGTTTGAAACTCTAATGAAAATACCCACTGGTTAAGGTGATTTGAAAGTCCAGCCGAGGAGTTGATGGTCCACATCACGACGAAAGCACAGCTCAGGGCATTCTTAGGACTCTGAATGCTGCATCCATCATTGTTTTCCCTCAAAATCCTTATGACAGGATAAAACTGTCCATCCCACTCAGAGGCTGATCCAGAGAGAAAGTCCAAGTAGCATCTGCAAACTTGTAAAGTAAATGCAGTGAAGATGGATTGTTCTGGCACTCAGAGGCTCAATCCTGATCCAGAGAGAAAGTCCAAGTAGCATGTAACATAGTCCTGACTTGTCAAAAGAGTGTAAGTTGTTTTATTTATTTTTCTTTATCTTCACTAAGCATAGTCCAGACTGGTAAAATTCTTGAAAATTTGCCTCTGTTGGTGCACATCTGTAAAAAGAAAGAATTGCACATACATAGATGTATGCATTAGTGTGCAGAAACACATGCATCAATACCTATGGGTGTAATAAATATAAGCTACATAGTTGGTCAAATGAGGACATTTATGTGGACATGACATTTAAAGTCCTGTCTTCTAAATCAAGATATTATATTCTTCTAATTAAAAAGCAGCAAAAGCAGGAAATAAGCTCCCTAGGAAGCAGAATATGATAGATTAACTACATGAAGCAAACCCTAGTAGTTTTCCTTTTTTTTTTTTTTTTTTTTTTTTTTTTTTTTGTTTTTTTTTTTTTACAACGTTCTCCTTTCTGTCTTTCTTTGGTACTGGTTAAAGATGATTTAAAATAGATATTTTTATAAAGAGATGCAATTTTACAAGATTTTACAAAAATCTTCCAACGTTGATGTTACTTCCACTTTCTGCAATTTAGACATATTTGTCCATCTATTTCAAATTATTTAAACTATTTTTATTAAAATTGCCCCTTGAATGGGGAGGGGGTTCTTGCTTTCTTTTTCTTGTAGCTATGTTTTAGAACATATGAATGTTTTAAAAAAACATTTTTCAGTAAGCATGGGGAGTAATGATATTTGCATATGTCTCAGGATTTTTTAAATGGAAAATCTGAGTGTAGAAGCCATGTCTGGCTTCTACAAGCCGTGTACATTCTTACTTTATGATTGTTTTCAGTCTTGAGATTCCACTGTCATTTTACTTAGTGCTGGCTGAAATTCAAACATGAGATGTTTTTTGCTGCTTTGCTTTAACTTGATCTAGCCAGAATTAACCGTGGAGATGCATCTTTCTCTTCATTGATCATAGACACAGGGTAGACACCTAGCAATAGATGAGCTGCTTAGAGCAGAGTCTGCCTTGACAGGAGCTTCTCACACTGCACAGGCAGCTCTGGCAGGCACATCAGCACCGGCCTATGGGACGCCTGTTTCTTTCCAAGGTGCTGACTGGATCCGGGTAGGAAACATTTCTGCATCTAACACTGCCATAGGCATCTCTGCTTAGGAAATTTGTGTCTACTTTTAGGTGAATACATGAAAATTAGATGACCAATTTCCCATTCGAATCAGTGAACAGCCAGAAGGTAATTTGTGGAGCTTAGAGAGGAGAGATATTCATCTATTTTACAGTAAAATGAATTATTCTCCTTTCACTGACTGTTGTGGAGAGAAATATGTAGATGTCATAATCCAAAACTAAATAGGATCCGTAAGACACCTTTCCATCGCTAGGTGCCTGGTGCCAATTGAGATGAATGTCTGCAGATACAAGTTTCCTGCCTGTTGGGTCTCATATCAGCTAGCTCCTTGTAGATATGTTGGCATTTCCAATTACAGCAAGTGCCCGTGTAGAACCCCTAACTTCTAAATGGGATGAATCCTTGAAAAGTCTCATCATCAGAACAAAATTGGCCCTCCCTTGCATCAGTGCAACCAATGGTGATCATCTGGAGTCCTTCACCTGGATTAGCAGGGAATAACAGGAGGCAGAATTTGACCCTCTTTGTACCCCACCATCTTGTGCCATTGTTGATTGTTGTCTTCACCTACACACATTTTACGCTGAAAATACCACTTTCAGGCATTGTTCTGTTCTGCCAGCTTTCCACAGACACAAAAGGTCTTTTTTTTTCTCTTTGTCATAAAAAAACGTTTTGTAAAAGACTAGAGAAAAAGCTGAGACCTTGTGAGGCTCTCTAAAACAAGTGCTTTTTCAAAGCTTTCGTGCGTTTTTTTTTTTTTGGTACCTTCTTATCAAGCAAGGAAAGCAATAGTTACTTTCCTGCCAAACCATGAGCTTTATCCGACTTCTTTTGAGGCTGGTGGGGGGCCTCTTGGTTAACCACA